CAGTAAAAGAAGAAGAGTTTGAGCCGTCTGTCACAGCTCGAGAAGCTCTCGGAGCCCTCTCCGTTCTCAGAAGGTATATGGAAGAGAACTTCGATTCGTGCGAAAAGTTGTTCGCGATCGAAAATATGGTTGAATCGAAAATCATCACTAAGAAATTCCAGGTGAAGATGACCGATTTTTTCTCGAGTAAGATCCCTTCAATAGTCTAGGGTGATCTCAAAAGTTGCGTACGTAAATTATAAGAAGAAAGTTGTTCAAGAGGAATCCGGGAGACTCTCCCCGATTAGCTGTCAGGGTTATGCTGAGCGAATAAATGTCTTCCAAACTTGTGACGTTCATATGGGAATCGTCTCTGCCATGCAGAATACGGATGAATTCACGCTCCCACATACAAGAGAAACTCGCTTAGAAGAGACTTTTTTCGATTTCCCGAGGTGCCTCTTATAAGCGGGTCCGACTGTAACAAGCTCTTCAAAAAAAAGGCAGTTGAACAGATTGGTGACCAGCTAGCTCGCAACAAGGCGACTGGTCACGACTCATGTGTAGACCTAGAACGAGTAATCAAACAGAGTTTACGTCAAAACAGTAAACCCATAAAGATTACATCTAGACCCATGATACACTCAAAACGCATCTCGGAGCTCGAAAGACTCCGGAAACTCAAAAACAAACAATGGCGTCTGGCTCGTGTCGAAGAGAGTCAGACGACACAAACAAAGCGTGCGAAGAGTACCGGGCGGCTCAACAAGCCGTGAGAGAAAAGGTGGAAAGAGAAATCTTCGCTCGCGACACTAGAGCGTTGAAAGAGATCCTCTCGGCTCCAAGAGGCGAACGCAGTAAGAGATTCTGGAAACACGTGAACAAAGCTAAACCCAGAATCAAAAAATCTGCTAAAATTAGGAATGCGGAAGGAGAGCAAATTAAAGACTCCGCCCTACCGCAACACCTCACTCAGATAGCCAAAGATATCCTCGAGGCGTCTGAAAGCAATGAGGCGCCCCTCCAAACCCTATACCTATCGCGGCCATCGAGAATAGCAACAAACTATGAGGAGCTAAAAACCATTCTCAAAAGCATAAAAGCAAGCTCGAGCAGTGGTCTCGATAAGATCCCTGCGAGCGTACTCAGAGAGCTAGACGAACATAGCCTCGAGTATATCACGGAAATCCTGAACGGAATTCTGGAAGGGAGGAAAAGCATTCCAAAAGAGTGGCGACTGAGCCGTGTAACTATGATAGAGAAACCAAACTCGGCTAGAGGGAGGTTGAATGCATATCGCCCGATCACGGTCTCCTCAGTAGTCTATCGCGTCTTCGCGAAAATCCTGGTTAACAGGATACAGAGATGAATAGGATAAGATAGAATACTAGGAGAAATGCAAAACGGCTTCCGACCGGGAAGGAGAGGTGACGATAACCTCTTCATCCTTACCTCGGCAATCGAGATATCCAGAAAACAAAAAAATAGACTTATCTGTGCGTTCCTAGATGCCACGAAAGCATATGACAGGATCGATCGAGAAAAGCTGTGGAACATCCTGGCAGAATTAGGGATGGAACCCTCTTGGATCGAGATCCTTCAGATCCTAAACAACTCGAATAAGATGAAAATCATCGAGAAGGGAACCGAGTCAGACTGGGTGACAACAACCAGAGGACTCAAACAAGGTTGCCCGCTATCCAGCGTGTTATTCATGCTATACATTGCAGACTTAGAGAAAAGGCT